TCGCTAAAAATCTCACAATTGGCGACTAAAAAAATATTTTTGTTGCTGTATATATAGTTTTGGCAACTAAAATATTTTGGTCGCGAAAGATAAAAAATGTCGACCAAAAACCAATTTTGTCACCAAAGGTGTGAAAATTTTAGATTCCCCATGTGTTCTCTGTTTAAACCAATCAGATTGTTCTCTCTCTCATATAGATTCTCCTTCACCACCAAACCTCACCCCACCTCACCTCACCTCGCCTCACCATCAACGTTGCCGTCCGCCGTTCTCACCTCTCCACTGTCACCACCGTACGTTGCACTCTAGGCCCTTCTCTTATACGCAAGCCCTAGCCCCTTTTCTTATGCGTTGTTCCTTTGATGTTGTCTCTCTTGATATCATTCTCTCTATTTCAAGCTCTCTTCGTTGCCATGGTGATCTGCAGAACAAGGGCAGTATGAATCTCTCTCTTTCACACACACAATCTCTCTCTCTCTCAATCTACCTATAAATACTTATAAGTGCCAAAAGTTGTGGAATTGGCGACCAAAAATTATATTGGTTGGGAAAAGTACAAGATTTAGCTACTAATTCTTTTTAGTCGGGGTATATTGATTACTGGTGACTAAAAATATTTTAGTTGCTAAAAATGGCACAATTGGCGACAAAATTTTTTTTTAATCGCTGTATAGTTAGTTTTGGCTACTAAAATTATTTAGTCACCGAATGAAAAATAAAAAATTACATTTTATCTTTGGCAACCAAAAATTTATTTTCAGCAACTAAAATATATTTTAGTCACTGTACGTCCTATTTTGTCAGGAGCTAGGGTTTTACTACACACACAGCGGTTTCAAACAACCTATAATCGGGTAAGCAACCTATCATAGTTTGGAATAGTCACTATGGATTCCGATATGGACTAGGTCGAATGGTAAAAAAGGGTGCCCCGGTAAAAACCAGGGTTTGTGTTCCCGTCGTGGCAAAGTTCGCAATTGGTCAGCCATATGGCACGCTTCTCCAAGCAAGCCTTCGGCAAACCGTTCAGGAATAGCATACGGCAAACACGGTGTCCTAGGCGCACCAATGCAAATGCAATGCAAAGAAACACATAAATGTAGTCAAAACAAGATATCATGAGTTCGAGTCAAGCTCTCTAAATCCCCAGCAGAGTCGCCAGAAACTATAGACGGGCCTGTGGGCCTCATGCTACAATTCGGACTCAAATAAAAAGAAGTGCCAAACATGGACTGCTTTGCCAGATACAGAGTCGCCACC